CAGCCTCGCTGTCTGTGGAGGCGACAACGATTAAACCATGGTTTCTTGAGGGTGTCTAATATCAGGAACCATGGGATTAATAGACTGTACCCATCTGTACCCCGCTTGGGACTAGTTGTGGATAGTTAATCATGAATGGTTTTACAGTACCTCATTCATAGTTAATACCACCCGCAACTGGTCTGTCAGATTGCTTTGGGTGTCGTTTGTTGACCCCGTTCCCAGGTATATCATGTTGCCTGTGATTGATTGGGATATGCCCATGCCTAGCTCTTAGGGGATCTTAGGGGCGTACTCTGTGATCTTCACATTCTTAAAAGGAGGTGATGATGACTTGAGGGTCTTTCTTGGGATTTCCAAAAACGTGTTTTTGAGCCTTGCTTGACTCCAAATCTAGTGTTTATCACTAGGCTATGGCCCGAAGATATTGAAGAACAGGGTCCTAGTGGACCTACATAAGGCAGCTTACCCATCACTAGAAATCGCTGGCTGTCTCTATTTACTATTGGATACTATTGGATTGAATTAAAACATCGGACTATATCATGATATATTGTTTTTTTGTAGCAAAACATGCAGGCCATTATATCATAATTGTTCATGACAATAAAAACCATTGTAAAAAAAAACATTCTCAATACTTTAATCGAACCACTGGTTATTTAACATTTAATTTGGAACAAAAGCATTGTAACGGTTACAATGGTTATCATTTTTCTCAACAAAAAACATTATCAATTCCCGTATATGACTAAGTCACTTTGATTAATTGCCATGATATCAATTCTTATTTTTTATATCTTATTCCATTGTATTCCCATATGGGGGTTTCCAATGGTGGTACCCCAATACCTGGATGGTTTACGGATGACTTGATTTGGGGGTATCCCCATGACTTAGCAAACCTCCATATGACTATGATAGTTTCCCATGACAGTCCATTTAAGTCCCATTATATCAGTGTAGTTGTCATTGGATTGATTTAAGGGAACATTTTTTCAGGAAAGCCTCATATTTGGCAAAAACCATCCGGTGAAGATTTTCCCTTTAAACCAATCCAATGATTCATTGTTCATTAATGTTATTCCATGTTATTCCCAGATGGTTACCCTCTGGTAATTTAACATAGCTATTGAAAATGGCCATTTATAGTGGATTTTCCCATTAAAAATGGTGATTTTCCATAGCTATGTTAGTTTACCAGAGGGTAACACCTTTCATTTTCCACCCAACGAATCTCCCGTGTTTTCTGCGCTGGGCTACCGCGGAATCTGCGCAGGACATTTTCGAGGTGATCAGCCCCAGCGCCGTGCGGAATCTACGGAAACGGTACGCCGCCTTTTGATCGCCTTGGCGGCGGAGTGGATTTTGGGGGGGTTCCCCTTGGGTATTTCGTAAGACCCCACCAAAAACGAAAGAACAGGCACTTGAATCAGTGATTTATATAGCAGCTTAGCATGAAAAAACATGATTTTGCCTAGTTTAATTAATTAGTAGGATTCTACTGAAAATCATGGAACAGCGATCGTAGTTTTTAGATAAACCCAGCTGGAAATGAAACTGCCAGATAATTGGTGGAATTATATATATATAAACATGGTGAATTTTTGGACTTGCGTCCTAGTACTTGGGATGATGAGAATTTACTAGGTATTTGGTTGGCGGGCGGCGGGATCTACAGGAAACGGCTCCAATGGACGTAGGTCCTGGATGGATTTTACCCTCTGGTAATGGCTGACATAGCTATGGAAGCCATGGAAGCGCCCAGTTTACCTATTAAAAGTGGTGATTTTTCAATAGTTGTGAACCAGTTTACCAGAGGGATCCAGAGGGTATCTCTTAAGATCTCTCCAATATATCAACATGTTGAAGATCGTCAACCGGGCGTGACATCTCTTACGACGATTGTAGCTGCTCGTAGCTCGGACGTCTTCGCTGGTGCTATCCCCGTTTCTCTCCGTAACATCAATAGTTAATGGGGATGCATCACCACTGCATTGAATGTCCATTTCCAACATGTATTAGCAAGTTATTTGTTCAAATATTGTTCATATAGTTTCCAATATAGAACGTTGTTTCCAATAGTTTCCACAATTATTGTTGATATTTTTCATATAGTTGCCAATATTATTCCCAACATTGTTAATTTTATTTTATGCTTTCAAATGTAGACAAACAGTCCTTCCCCGTCGCGAGTCGTAGCTCCCAAGCCGCAAGGCCGCGGAATCTACAGGCCGACGGAGTGCACACTTCCGGGGTGACTTTTTAGGGGTTATGAACGACCAGAAACCACGAATTGGTATTTTATCCGGTATATTAATGTGTATTAACATGTATTAACCATGTATTAACCATTATCAATGGTTGGGTAGTTCTGCTATATTAGATTATGTTTGATTTATGATTTTTTGAAGGTGCCATCATTCATGGTCGAAGGAAGTTTAGAAGTGAAACTTCCGACAATATGGACAGTTGAAAAGCAGAGGTGAAAAAAGTCAGAAGAGAAAAGATCAGAAGAAAGAAGATGCAGATGCGCGAAAAGGTAGGAAAGTCGCGAAACACTGTGTTTTTCCAATGATTTGGGGCTCCGGAGGGTCGAAAGGTAGGCTCGCTAAAGCGGCGGGTGCGGAGCCAGCTGGCCAGATGAGAGATGAAAAATTGCACGCCGTTGTGGCGCGAAGCACATTTGCAAGTCAAAATGTACAAAACACACCAGGTGCGGACCACTTTGGCAGTTGAGATGTCGAAAAATTGCACGCCGTTGTGGCGCGAAGCCCGATTTCGAAGTCAAAATTGTTTAAAAACACTTAGGGTTTCGGACCACTTTTGGAAGTTGAGATGTTGAAAAAGTGCACGCCGTTGTGGCGCGAAGCACATTTCGAAGTCAAAATGTACAAAACACACCATTCTCGGACCACTTTTGGAAGTTGAGATGTCGAAAAAGTGCACGCCGTTGTGGCGCGAAGCATATTTCGAAGTCAAAAGTGTTAAAAACTGACGGTCTCGGACCACTTTTGGAGGTTCAGATGTCGAAAAAGTGTCGAAAAAGTGCACGCCGTTGTGGCGCGAAGCACATTTTGAAGTCAAAAGTGTAAAAAACTGAGGGTTTTGAGCCTTTTTTGACGTGAAGATGTCGAAAAAGTAGACACTGATTAACTTAACGAACTTGGCTAACTTAACTAACTTCACTAACTTAACTACCCTAGCTTCGACGACAACAGCAACAACAACAACAACAACAACAACACCAACACCAACCACAACAACTACAACTACAACAACTACAACTACAACAGCTACACAACAACTACAACTACAACTAGAACTACAACTAGAACTACAACTACAACAACTACAACAACAACAGCAACAACAACAACAGCAACAACAACAACTACAACTACAACTACAACAACTACACAACAACTACAACTACAACTAGAACTACAACTACAACAACTACAACTACAACAACAACAACAGCAACAACAACTACAACTACAACTACAACTACACAACAACTACAACTACAACTACAACTAGAACTACAACTACAACAACTACAGCTACAACTTTATGACTGCAACTACACTACACTAATTACATTACACCACAACTACAACTCCACTACGCTACAACTACAACTACAGTTGCAGTACATCACACTACATCCAGCAGTTGTGGGTGAGGTGACCACTGCAACGATTGCAACCATTCCAGCAAACACAACTCCAACCACCTCTCGGTCAATCAGTGGCTTCGCTCTGCCATCCCTGATTCACAACAACCAACTTCTCCTATAGGTTTCCTATTTTTGAAACTTCCGCCACCGCCTTGTGCGGTACTACTGGTATATTATCAATGGTAGTTCATAAACCTTTAATATACCTTGGCGGTATTCATACCCATGAAAAGGGGGGAACTTTGAATACCACTAAGATGAGAACCACCACTAAGGTTGATTGAGGGGGGTCATCTTGGGAGGGGGTGGGTGAATATCTCCATGTATGGCATATGTATGTACACTCGGGTCATTTTTGTGGTGTATATATATATATATATACATACATACATAAATATATAAATGTTGATAAAGATTTTGCCATACATGGAGAATCTGAGACTTTGATGTCAAAACAAGTCAAATGCACGGATGCGATCTATGTGAAATGCTCCAGACATGTCCAGACTAAACCAACCCGTTCAGAATTTTATTGGAACCCTATAGGTTGGAAGCGATTTATAGCGCGTGGTCTAGCGCTTGGGCCTATTCGCTGGTTTCGATGGTTGACAAGACATCCGTGGAAAGACAGCATAATCCCATTGTCACCCAGTGAAGATGCAACTTGCTCGCCCCTAATGCGCCCTTGGCAAGGCCAATGTCGCAGAATCCGATAGGTTTCCAGCATATCATTGGCAGAGATGGCAAGAGTAAATCAATGTAAATCACACACAATCAATATTAATATTATATATAATATGATCCAACCTATCGATTCTATTAATATGTTTTTGTTGCTTCGCCATTTGATTGATTCTCCCGAGTTCTACCGCTTTCATGCCCAATTTTTGGCAATTGCTCCTGATTCTCGTGTCAACCTCCCCACGTTTTTTCTTGGTTAAATGATGTTAAATGGCCAGATGTTTGCGAGCCATCCCCAGTTTTCTTCCAAAACATTCCACCTCCCAGTTTCTGATGAGGTCCCAAGTTCTTTCTCGTTAACTCTCCATTGTTGATGGTCTCTTAAATCCCTGTGTTTTGCCTGTCAAAACTGACCAATCTCCTCACTTTTCGCTGGTGAAATCGCGAGTTTTGCTTGTGTTGTTGCTGTTTAGTCTCAACATATCAGTTCAATCTGCATATTATAACCGGTTGCCGGTTTGGAACATGAATTTTATTGTTCCATTCAGTTGGGAATGTCATAGTCCCAACTGACGAACTTATATCTTCAGAGGGGTAGGTCAACCATCCATCCCCATGTCCCATCCACAGCTCCTGTTTGGGCTCGAACCTGCCGGTGCCTCCGCACCGCGAGCTGTGCAGTGCTCAGCCGGGAGGATAATGGCTGGTTTTTAGGCCTCAAGCTAGCAATGGGAATCCCCTATAAATAGTATAGAAATGCAGGTTTTAGTGTGAAAATCCTCTATCAATGGGTGGATTGTCCATTGCCATGTTTAATTACTGGAGGGTATATAATTGTTCGGGTATTGCTCAAAATCATTCACCCCAAAAAATTGGATGGCCTAATACTAAGAATAGCCAATCATGTAAACATTACTCATTTAATCCTCAACATATGCTGTATGGGTAGGTTTAATCCTCAAAGCAGCCATATGCCATGTTATGGTAAGAGGCACTGCACTGCGGCAAAACCAGACACAGCTGGCCAGAGAACGACTCTTTGAGTAGCTGCACACATGATACAAAAGAGGTACTTCACCCCATAGTTCAAGCAAGTGTTGGACCATTTTAGCAATTTTTGTTGTTTTCAATTTCGAGGCTGAAAGTCGAGGCCCACATTGACCCCCAGTGCATGGTGATTTGCAGCACGGTGGACTTGTTTCGATTCTCATTCTCCCAGGTTTGGTGAAATGGAGGTGCCAGGTCTGGCAGTTTGGAAGCCCAGATTCGCAGGGGCTTAGTGAAGCAGGGGAACACTTGAGCTAAGGTAATTTTGTATGATCCCAACTGACACTGACGAGCATTTTTGTTTGACCACTAACCAGTGCACATATGCATATTTATATTATATATTATATGAATATACGTAAGTAATAAACATTTCAAAAAGCACATATGGGTTCTTGAAACTTGATAATTACAAAGAAACTCCACATGACATGTAGTGAAAACTTTGAACGGCAGGGCAGGAACCCCACAAATAAATGGCTGAGAGCTCAATCAGAAAAACACATGGCGACAGCTACCATCCCGCAGGCGCAAGAGGCGAATTAGCGATATCCCTAGCGATGGCTTGGCAATACTCTGGGGAAAGCTTTTTTTGTTACCCCAAGCCAAGGCAGACCCTTTCCTCGTTTCTTTTCCGTCTTTCCTTTCCTATTCTTTTATTATGTTCCCATTATTTTCCTCTTCCTGAATGAGAGACACTACTTCCTCTTTCTTTCATCTTTCTCTCCTTTTTTTTCTTCTTTTCTTCCTCTTTTTTTCCCCTCTTTATTTTCTTTTTCTTTCCTCTTCCTCTTTTCTTCCTTTCCTCCTCTTTTCTCCCTTTACCATCCTTTTACCTCTTTTTCCCTTTCCTCTCTTCCATCTTTCTTTCTTTCCCTTTCCTCTTCCTTTTTCTTGCTTTTTCTCTTTCCTTTTTCCTTTCTGCCTTTCCTTGTACGGAAGTATCGCAGCTCGTAGATGTTCGTACTGGAAGATTCCTTTGGCTTTGCAAATCTCACTTCAATGCAGAATGGTGCTGGGACTGTGTCTAGCGATAGCGGGTCCTTGGAAGCAATGTCATGACTTCACCACACGCAATGAGTCTTGACCGTCGCGCAGATACGTAATTCTTACTTTATGATCTATTTTTGTTTATGTTCCTTTTAAGGTTTGTAAATGGATTTTAGCCATCTGCGAACCGGATGAATGGAACGTTTGCAGCAAAATTGTACACTCACTGAGAAGAAAGAAATCGTGGAAAAAACGATCAAATGCTGATGTTTCCTGCAGACTTCCCCTTAGATCAACCCAATGACGCGATGGCTAGTAATGTGGCAAACCCAGAAATGGGGTCAGATGGGTGTAGAAATGGTGTATGTATAATAATGTCCCTGCATGTTTTGTTTTTATTCTTTCCAGTCTATTTTCAGCAGTCGAAACCACCAACTAGAACGGTTGGGTTCATGCATTGGGATTGACTATAAACCTGGTGCATCCATAGTCCTTATTTTCATAGCTGTTTTTCATGTTTTATAATCAGAGTCTCCCAACCACATGAACCACATAACTATCCACAAATTTTAGGTTTATAGCACTTGGATGCATTTGAGCCTTACCCCCGTGATTGGTTCTTTACTCCCATCAGAATGCCAGTGAAACCGACATCAAATCCTTATTAAATCCACGATTTTTATCATCCCATATCAGACATGTGTGTAACATTGTGTAACTAGTATCCGACATGTGTGTAACTATAGTCCCCAAGTAATCAGGATCTGGCCAGCCCTTGGCAGCCTGGTCCCTGGCGGCCACATCTTCCGAAGGAGGAGAGCGTGGGAATTTTCTTGGGCATGATATGGTTTGATCCATTTAATGGTGATTCCCTAGGAAAACCCTAGGAACAACGGAGACTTAACCACTATAAATGGTGATTTCATGGTGATTTAATGGTTTAACAATGGGTTGACAATGGTGAATAATGGGATGGATTTATTAAACGGAATAATGATGGTGATCCATGGAGGTACCCCAATAGCTGGATGGTTCGTGGAAAATTACGGACATTTCTATGAAAATGGATGATAACTGGGGGTACCCCCCATTCTGGTGAAACTCCCATACAATGGATTTAGTTTACCATATCAGTTTCAAAATATCACGTGTTTTTCAAAATAATGGGTTATGAAATAATGGATATAAATATAAGCCATTAAAAACATGGTCTAATTTGGGTATCATTGATTTGTAAAAAGGAACTTGAGTTGGCATATACCCATCAAGTCAATCATGATATATTCAATTCAAGATGATACATCGGTTGCGCCAAACATTTTAATCCCAATTTACTGCATGAGACTTTGGCGGGTACCCTATGCTGGGACAAACCCAAGCCACATACCTTGGTACTTTGGCTATCCAGGAACGTTTGACAAAGCGAAATGGGACAATCCGCAAATTTGACGTTTTTTTTTGGTTCGCACACATTGAAGAGCCAAGGAAAAAGATGAACATCTTGAAACATCTTGAAATTATGATGTAATTTTCAAGAATCATTTGCTACATCCTGGGTTCAGATTTTTGTTTTTTACTCGGCATGGCAGAAAGGATCAATTGACGCCAGGAAATCATCTCCCAAAACTCAACGTTTGCGCAAACCAGAGGTTGCAAAAACATATGAAAACAAATGCAGAGTTGTTACGTAAAGAGTCCATAATATATGTATATATATAATATTATATATAATATTATATATAATATTATATATAATATTATATATATAATATTATACATATATATATGTGAATTGATGTAATTAATTACATCTTATCAGTCGTATACCTTGGGTTGCATCTCTTGTGTATTTGCATCTGTGGTTTGGATGGTTGTGTGTTTATATCTGTAAACAGATGCATTTACATTTGCAACCGTTTTATTATGTTTTACATTATATAGTTTTTTTTCACGGAATACATCATGGAATGGCATAGTAGATATATGTATATTTACAATCGTTGTTTCCCAGCATTGGCTTAAGGGAGAAACTCCAGGAAATAACCGTATTCAGTGGTGAAGAAACATGATTTCCCCTAGGTTTTCCCTTAAACCAAACCATTGATGGTCATATTCCGTGATTAAATCATATTAAAACATATTAAAACCCCATTTTGGGTGGTTAATCCCCATTAAATCATCATTTTGATCATTAGAACCTCTTGCTGTACCCTTGCGCCGGAGAAAGCCAAAAGGAAAAAACAGGGACGTTGCGGCCGTCCGGTTCACCCTTTTATCATGGTGTATGTACTGGTAGAAGCATAGGCAGTATATATGCAGATACATTTATGTTTTTTGTAGTGATTATATATCACTATAATAGAGGTATAATATTATAAATTATCAATTATATATAATATAGTTATATTACATGATATTACATCATATTACTCTATTATCATATATATATATATATATACGCCATTTTTATTCGCAGGAGCCTGGATCCTCCGCCAGCGCCTGAGAGTTTTCGCTGCGGCTATCCTCGCTGGATGGTTGATTTCATGGAAAACTTGTTTAAAAACCTATAAACAATGATGATAACTGGGGGTAGCCCATAAAAGTGACTTAGGAAACCTCCATATCCCCAGATATCCCAAGAATTTTCGGAGCCAGATACTGAGATACTTTATAAGAGTTTCTGAGGACATGTCGAAGAATTGTTCAAAGATGAAGATGTCAAAGTGACAAAAGACCCTAGATTTTTGTACCTGCGCTGATAACAGTTGCGGCTCAACATATTTTCTAGGAGATGCTTCAAGTGACTGTATCTTTGCCCAGTGGCCGCAGTGAATCGTTGTCCATTCCTCTGTCCTTCAACGTAGGGGATCTGAGGGTCCCAGTCCAGAAATCGCTGCAACAAGGCTTCCTGACACTGGTCACTGCTGGTGGCTACGCCCTGACTGATCCCACTGAATCAGTGCAAGGTGCGATTGAAGAGGGAGACAACCTCACAGCTATCGCACGAGAAGCAAAGGCAGCTGCAACTGATCGAGCGTTTGCATTGTGGTGCTCCGGAGGTGATAGGATTATCACTTGGGGTCATCCACACTATGGTGGTGACAGCTCTGAAATCCAAGCTCAGCTCAGGAGTGTTCAGCATGTTCAGGCGTCAGGCAGTGCATTTGCTGCGATTCTCGAAGATGAAACAATTGTGACATGGGGCAATGCACATTCAGGTGGCGACAGCTCCGAAGTCCAAAATCAGCTCAGGAGTGTTCAGCAGATTCAGGCCGCCCGCGGTGCATTTGCTGCGATCATAGCAGATGGATCAGTCGTGACGTGGGGAGATCCACTTGGTGGAGCGGACAGCTCTCAAGTCCAGAATCGGCTTAGGAATGTGCGGCAGATTCAAGCAGCAGATCGTGTATTTGCTGCGATCAGGGAAGATGGATCTGTAGTGACATGGGGCGAACAGAAATCTGGTGGCGACAGCTCTGAGGTTCAAAGTCAGCTGAAGGGTGTCCGTCAGATTCAGGCCACATCCTATGCATGTGCGGCGATTGTCGCAGATGGATCTGTTGTGACTTGGGGACTTCCACATTTTGGTGGTGACTGTTCCCAAGTTCAAGATCAGCTGACTCGCGTGAGGCAGCTTGTGGCTACGAGCTATGCATTTGCTGCCATCCTTGAGGATGAATCCATTGTTACCTGGGGCCATCCACATTCCGGTGGTGACAGCTCCGAAGTCCAACATCAGCTCAGTGGTGTCCAGCAGGTTCAGGCCGCAGATCGGGCATTTGCTGCCATCCTGGCTGATGGATCGGTAGTGACGTGGGGCAATCAACATTCTGGCGGTGACAGCTCCGAAGTCCAAGATCAGCTTCGGAGTGTGAAACAGATTCTGGCCACAAAATGTGCATTTGCCGCCGTCCTTGGAGATGGATCAGTAGTTACCTGGGGAAATCCCGAATATGGTGGTGACAGTTCCAAGGTCCAAGATCAGCTCAAGCATGTTAGACAGGTTCTGGCTGCAAGCTACGCATTTGCTGCAATCCTGGCAGACGGATCGCTGGTGACATGGGGCAATGCACGTTTCGGCGGAAACAGTCTTCGAGTCCAAGATCAGCTGGCAATGTTGTGACAAAGTGTTCATGAAATGATGTGTCACCTGTTTTTGCTTGATGATACTTGTTTGATTTTGTTTGATCTTGTTTGCTTCTGGGAAAAGCGGGGACAACTGTTGATGTGCGGGTCGTTGTGTTTGGATTTGATTCGATGTTGTTTTTTTGCCAGCCGAATATGCCTGATCAATCTTGATCGAACAGGCGAAGGTCGAAGTCACTACCCATGTGAACAAAGTATAATTATGTATAATTAGTATTTAATTAGTGAAATTAGATGCTAGCATGTGAAAATATTTATTTGGTGTCTGGGGTACGATCACTATGATCACTGACCTCACAGACCTCCCCGAGAACTTCACTTGGGAGCAGTCGTCCGAAGAGTCCGAAAAGGTCGTTGTGTTTGGAACGCGAGTTTGGATCCCCTAACTGGGCGTGTATGATCCTATGCACTTATTTAATATTATTTACATAAATTATATACAATAATATAATAATGTAATATATCTATATATACATTTGATGTATATATATATATATAATGTATATATATATATATATACAGTCTGAAAAAGTAGTATTATACACAAATCATATACACCACATTGTACCACTATATTTGTGTATCTTTACTTCGAAAACAAAGACGCACACGTGTGGTGCCCGGGACTCTGTTCACACGTTCACAACCCCCTTTGATGCTCATGACTGCTGGAGGCTTCCACGAGAGAAGACTCTTCTTCACCACTTTGTCAATCACTAGGTTGGTTTTAGAAATTCCAAAGATGAAACAGATTGGAAAAGTAGATCATCACTCTTTTAGTAGCTCATATGCTCCATGTCTGAAATATTTACCAACATGTGCCCTAAAAATCAACCAAATGTAGGTCTGTAGGTAAATATACCATACATGGAGCATATGGGTAGGATTTCTATATGTTCTATCCTTTGACTGTGACAAGAGGAATTCACTTCGAGAAAAAAAACGAGGCAAAACTCCTGCAGATTGCAGAGTTGGTCCTTCCAGTTCTGAGGGTTTCCATAGTCATAGGGGTACCCCTTTATCGCCGGATGGTTTATGATGGAAAATCCCATCTAGAAATGGATGACTGGGGGTACCCCCATTTCAGGAAACCCCCATTTATCATTTGTCCTCCCCATTTTTGACCTACAAACCGCGACATCACTGGTAAAGAAGCAACATCGATTGTTGCGAAATGAAGCAACGTTCTTCCATGGCCACCGAATGTGGAAAGTGAACTTATGCTCATCATATCTCTGTATGGATATGGTCTTACTTGGATATGCATCCCAATTAGTAAGTGGTTCATAATCCATGGAGATAAGCCATATAATCCCATATGGCCCATATATAATATAGGAGATATTCCATTAATCTAGCTGTTTTTTTGACCCATTTACTAAGTGGGGCTCGCAACCCCCTATGGTGTCTTGTGGAATCATTTCGCCGGAAAACCTGAGGTTGGCGCACGACACCTGGAAGGTGGGGAAACGGCTTGCTCCCATTGGCTGAGGGTTTCCTAAGCCATGGACGGGGGTACCAAATCATTCATTTTTCTTTTTGGGATTTCCCATGAAGTTTTAATGGGTTTCAATATGGATGGTTTATGGAAAATCCATCATATCCCCATATAAACCATCATTTATGGAAACCATCATTTATGGAAAACCATCCATATCCCCATTTATGGAAACCTTCGGTTTCAATATGTGTCAAGCGGTGTTGTTTTTGTTCCCATTGGATCTCTAGCATGTTTGAACAATACCAACGAAAGTGGGCTGGGGATAACAACAGCATTATAGTGAGAATGCAGGCAATGACGCATTGGACTTTTGGAGTACGGTGTCTTGAGGTGGATTATCGTTCTTCAAAGCAACAGGTTGGAGCCTACTAATCATAAGGATCATGCAGATTTGTGATTTCCGACATTCACTATGTTATTTTTGTCGTGTGGAGATTGTACACGAACTGATTTTTTTTTGGTGATGGATCTGAATAATATAGCATGGATATAATATATGAGGGTTATGCTTCCAATGATGGGTACAGTACCTCTCTCAAAATAGCCGAACTGTTCAGGTCAGTGAGGTGAGCACATTAAGAAAAACCAAATCTCAAGATGGATTAACACAACACCAGCTCGATGATGTTCTTGTTTGACCTGGCCAGAAAAACATGCATCGTACCGGGCTGCCTAAACCTGACGTATTGTCTAGACTTGACCTCAATTCTTGATTTTATGGGATATTCGCAAACATCTGAGCCGTTTTAGCTGCAACAAGTTGTTCTTGATATCTCATGTTGGGAGCATTTCGGATGTGTTCTTAATTTGGTTGACTGTTCCAAGCTTGTTTGTTGTTTTCATCCATGTTTGGAATGATGAGACCCCAATCCCAGTTGAATAATGTTTTGGGGATGGATTGACCCAAAAAAACATTTTCTATGCTGACATTACCATACAAATCACGTTGCTGTGCACAGTCGGGGATCCCTAAAAGTACCGAACCTGTGCATTTTTGTTCCCAAAGCAGCCCGAGTTCGGGATGTTGATATATTGCATAATACTTCAGCCATGAATGTGTATTTGTACATAATTACATTGCATTGCATTGCGCTGTATTGCATTGCGTTCCATTGCATTGATTCCATTGCATTGTATTGCATTGTGTTCCATACATTACCTTACCTTACCGTACCGTACATTATATACATCACATCACATTTTATTACTTTACATGATCTTACAGTACATCACATTACATACATTACAACACACTACGTTACATTAGATAGAATATATGGATATGATTGGAGATATGCTTATCTATCTATCTATCTATCTATCTACCTATCTATCCATCCATCCATCCATCTATATATATAATATACCATTATAGCCATTTATATCCTTGATGGCGTCATTCTTTTTGCCAGGTCGGCAGAACGATGCACCGGGGCGCGGCCAGACGGAGCTGTGGCCAATTGGTGCAGAGAGGCTGGTGTCATAAACCACCCATATGGATTGATGGTTAACTGGATGTTTTTTGTTGCACCCAAAGTGGTAAAATATCTATAAACATCTAGATAAATTTTGGGTATGGATAGTATGGTTTACTTATAAACGTCTATAAACTTCTATGATTCTTTACCACCCCATAAATTTGGGTATGGTTTACTATATTGCTTTACTAACATCAGATCTGGTGCCCCACAGAAAAATGTTTGTTGGTTCATGTTGCCCCCCATGTTTTCCACGGAGAAAAATACGTGTAGCTAGTTGTGAACCAACTTAGCGATCGTGTGGGGGCGCCACCTTGTGACCTGGGGATATTACCCATCTTCAATCATAATGAAAAGTACACATATATGGGAAAAGTTGATTGAACAGATTGAACGAGAAACCATTTGGATTTCTGGATTTATTGGGATATTACATGATATTACCATCCCCTGAACTAGCACTTTGGCTTTGAGAAGCAGCACTTTTTAGATGCCAACCCCCAACTCATGACAGGCTCGTCATGTGAACATGGCAGGGTCGATGATAAGCAGCAATCAATATGGGATGTATGGGATGTAGAATGGGTGTAAAATGGGGATATTGATAAAGTGGAGAAAACCCATCGATTTGGGGATTTATATAATTGATTTAAGTAGCAATGAATAGGGATTTCATCATCAACAATTGTGATTTTATAAACCAATAGCGGTTTTGAATGGTTTTGACATTTTGACCTGGCAATTTCCAACAATACAATTACACCCAGTAATTCAAGCAACAAATTGGAATGCATAATTACAGTATATACATAGTACAAATGTACAAGACCTACCAACAAATTATGATTTATAGTTATGAATCGAATTGTGATTCATTGAATGACACCTGCGCAATTGTGGTATAAGTATAAGCTTCAATTCATGTGAAGCACAATCGTAGCACAAACAAATTCAATGAACTGAATATAAGTCCACAAGAAAAATGACATTGTAAATTCGCCCCAGATGAAAGACAACCCAAAGCATGGCCATTGTTTGAAAATACCGCTAGAACTATCTAAAAAACAGCTGGTCTTCAGCGAGTGTGTTCCTGAAGACAAGGTATTCCCTTAAGTAGCACGCAGTATTCTTGCAGAAAAACAATATGTGGAAGGATGCAATACATCCTTTAATGAAGCTCAGCTCCCTCTTATTTTGTATGCACGGCATTTGTTTTTAAGGAAAGGCTTCACTTCTTCAAAATAACAAAATAATGTTGCCTGTTTTGTTCAGATGTTTTATTCATATGGAAGGCATATTGCACACATACCACAATGATCTTGGGCTTTCAAAAAATACTACATACACCCAAGGATTCTACTTCATAGTTATGCATCTTTGTATTATTGCATGTTGTTCAATCACATGGTTCACTCCCATGTTTATAAAGTTTATAATTAATTATGGGAGACAGAAATCAAGCAAATCAAGGTTTACCCAGAGATTCCAGCAGCTAAGGCTGCTAAGGCATTGCTCATCCCTGTGAACCAACAACTCCCGGGCTGAAACCTGCACCTGGAGGTTCCAATGTGATCTCATCCCGAAGTTTTTGGAAGATGACATAGGCCTGGAAGACTCAGCGCGTGGATGTTCCGGATGAGTTTCATGCCATTTCAGTTGGGTGAGAACTAGAAGTTGTTTCAGCACCGTTCATTTAACATGGCCATGGATGGGGTGGCCATGATTCATGTGGGAAACATGGACTGGATCATAGAGACGATCTTGGCTTCATCTAAGCTTTTGACAGCGGATCAAGAAACCACCAAGTGGATTTATCCAAGCTTAAACGACCAGAATTCACAGGCAAAGTTTCATCGCAAGACTGAGATTCCCTTTATCAATAGTACTATAATAGTACACATAGTATATGTTTCTCAAAAATGGGGGTACCCCCAAATCATCAAAGATATCAAAGTCATTAGACCATTTTAGTATTGAAACCCACGGTGACTTGGGGATCTCCCGTACAGTGCGACGGAAAACGGCTGCGAGGTGCTTCCTCTTCCAGCACCCGCAGCACCAGCCGAGGGGAGGTACGGCTGCGATCTACCCCGGTTGATGATTAGTTCGTCATTTAATAGAGGTTTAACCGTGAACATGAAGGTGCAATAGTGAATAGAGGTTTAAAAGTGGGGATATAAGTGGGTATATCGGATAAATGATGGTCGGTTGACGATTAGGTGTTTCTTTAATGGATTTTTACCATTAATTGGAGAAGATCACAAAGCATGAATGGGGAATCCGTATTAATCCGATCTCAGTATCAACCAGTTTGTTTAGGGACAACTTGTTTGTGTCACCATTCTTGGTGACCTCCGTCGTGGTCGAATCCTCCTTATGCACCTGAAATTGGAGGATGTTCGCAACGAAGCTACTCCGGGAGTTCCAAACGCTACCACACATCCCCATATACTCCATGTATGGTATATTTACCTACAAAACTGGGTGATTTTTAGGGCTTCGGTAAATATTCCTATGGGATCTTAAAAAGAAAACAGCTATCCTCTGGGAAACAAACATCGCACTGGACAATTTAACCCAGGACAGGAGGTATGGTGTCGCCCAGTTCACAAGCGTCCCTGTCCCTGGAGCACGAGAATCTTGTGAAATCTGAGAAAAAACATGAGGAAATTTAAGTTCCAGTCATAAATGCTTATATAGAATCATAGTTATAGGGATTAAGTGGTTAACCATAGTTATCGATGTTATTTCCAATTGCTTTACTTCGAGTGATCCCCACCGTGACAAATTATATATTTTGTCATAGTTTCTGACATCTCATTTGGAATATATAATTATATATATATATATTTAATTATATATATAATTATATATATATATAATTATATATATATGATGCATATATATTTTCTGACATTCTATTCTGGCATTCTATTTGACATTCTATTCTGACATTCTATTCTACTGTGGCATTCTATTTGATATCCATTCTGACATCCTATTTGGCATCCTTTCTGGCATTCTATCTGGCATTCTATCTGACATTCTATTCTGGCATTCTATCTGGCATCTATTCTGACATATCCATTCTGGCATTCTATCTGGCATCTATTCTGACATATCCATTCTGGCATTCTATCTGGCATCTATTCTGACATATCCATTCTGACATATCTATTCTGGCGCTGAGATCTGGCGCTCGTGGTTGAGGTCCAGCAGTGCCCACTGAGCTGCTGTGGAGTTCGCAGTTGAGGTCTGGAAGGAAGGACGGGAGGAAGGAAGGAAGGAAGGGAAGGAAGGAAGGGAAGGAAGGAAGCAAGGACGAGGAGGAAGTAACTCTTGAAAAAAAGGGGAAACATCAAGTTATTACCAGGGCTAAAAAGACATGAAGATTCCCAACTCCCAGGAAGGACCAACTAGTCCCTGGATTGTTTTTTTCCCCACCTGCCAGGTGAGGGTCTCTAGATTTTCATAAAGGTGCAACTCCTTCTCCTCCTTCGACAGAATGCCAGACATAATTTCAGATAGAATGCCAGAATGACTGGCTGAAAAGGTGCCAGATAGAATGTCATAATAATAATGATAATAATAATAACAATAATAATAATAACAATAACAACAATTAAAACAATGATAATAATAATAATAGTGATAATAATAACAATAATAACAATAATAACACTCAAAATAATAATAATAATAATAATATATATATAATATTAGTAATAATAATATATAATAATAATAACAATAATAACACTCAAAATAATAATAATAATATAATATATATATAATATTAGTAATAATAATATATAATAATAATAACAATAATAATAATAATATATAATAATAATATATCATAATAGTAATAATATATCATAATAATAATATTATTATTAATATATTAACAAAAAAACAATAATAATAATAACAATATATATAATATAATATATATATATAATATATTATATATATATGCCTTATAAACTTTCAGATGGTATGTCAGAAGCTATGTCAGAATGGTGTGTAGTGTCAGGGATTCCTTTTTTTATTGTGGCAACAGGAAGCTTCCAACCATTCGGGTGATCTGGGAGAGGAGGCCACATGCTCGGCCGGATGGTTTCTGGAAGCCAGGGCGAATCCCACATATCAAAGCACTCATTAGCCAGATACATGGAGAATACATCCTTTTGGAGAAGTATGTTGTTTGGTGTTTTGTAGATGAGATATCATATATCCATGGTTATGCGATGTTCTGCGATATTGGCCATGGATTGCTTTCCTTTTGGGATTTCTCATTTGATCACCAGTCATTTGTTGGGATTTCTTCACAATGGGGTCCTTGATTTGGTTTACGTTCGCAAATTCGAGGTCAAAGTGATAGATGCAGGGCTGTATATAGCGTCCCATCATGGACTCATCGCCACTTTTAATAAACATCTGGATGCTACTTGGAACCCCAAATATCAAGTTATTAAAACACGGCAAACTTGAAAAGGACATTTATAGCACGTGTTCTGAGATCAAACAGCCTGGTCGTTTTAGATGGATCCGATGGACCCGGTGTTTCACCACCATTTTTGATGGTTACATGGTTACCCTGTATCATTCACCATGACGGCTGGGATGGTCAACCACAACGTCAACGACGTCAACGACGTCTGTTAGGCAGATGGCGGCACCAACAGTACGGTGATGATGCGTTCTTCGGCCAAGATGGAGCGACTATCGCTGGGAGATAGCAACAGACAGAACTGTGGGGCACCACCTTGTAGAAACGTTAAGTATTGTGAAACTATGTTGCAGAAAAAACACCATAAACATACCATAAACATCTAGAAACCATCCTCAGCTGGAAACTATTTCGATCCATTTGGGAGAGTCTACCATAATTAGAGCATATATATATACTGTATATATAATATCATAATAAGACGACAAATGAAGAATGCGGATATTGTATGCTTTATAATCAGCAAATACCAGGATATATAGTTATGTCATATGCAAAAATGTGCAGTTTTGACACACTGAAAGGTATAGTATGGTAGAGTGTTTTACAGTACCACGAGGGAATTATCGTAATGTCGGTAGTGTCAATATGAGAATGGCTCCACCTCAAAACTGCACACCCTACACAACATGGATGCATTACATTGCTTATCTACACAAGAAGAACACAGCCCCATTGGTCGAAAAAACATATACACCCTTCAATCTAAGATGGAACCCCATCAAAAGTTGTTTTTCTCCGTAAAATCTGAATTATCTAACACATATCAACTATAAATCCAAATAAATCCCCCCCCTATTCTTCTAGTCCCCGTTCTCCCCTTTATTCAACGGTAACGATGGTGAGCCAAGGCAACATCCCCAGCGAGTTCACGGGAGCTATGCTGTTAACCCTGCTCAACCGCAAGGGCTTCAAGGCCTTGGTCGAGGAGATTGCTGGGAGATAAACATACCATATTATAGTGGGATATCATAGTTATTATACATTATTTTTGTGGGACGGATAATCCAATATCTTAGTGGGATAATAATACAAATTATCCTGGATTAGTGGGATATTATGGATAATGTGGGAGGTTCTAGTTCATACGGATGATGTAACATGGATTAGTGATATATATATATATATATATCATGATGTATCACCGACTGATATTTTGGTCTATCTAAAAATTAGGGGATACCGTAACAGCTATGTCGCCATTTTTTTTGTGAACATGATGATGATTGGAATGGGACTTGGGGGTAGCCTATTGTTAGACAATTTCATATCTAAAAGCAAACTTGGGCATGGTTTGTGACATTTAGTGAGGTCCATATGGATTTCATGGGATGTTGAAATTGGGATATAAAGCAATTTCGTCATCTATCTGGTGAAATTATAACGACCTCACTGCGACCTCAATGGGAATCATAGTTAGTAAGGGGAATCATCCCAAAATGGCCTTAATTCAGGTTATTGAATTATTATAATTTGCCTAATATATTGTTGTCTATTCATGGGATATGTTTTTGAAAACATGATATGGGAGATGGCTGCAACCAGCTGATGTTTTATGTGAATAACATTGGACAATAAAGGGAATATGGAAGATGTATATATATATATATGATATATGTCTTATTTAAGTAGAATGGAATATGGATTTATACTCTCTCTATATATATATAGATAGATGGATAGATTAATATGGATAGATGGAAGTTGAATAAATGGGTGTGTCTGAATATGGCGGACTAATCCTTAAATGGTCATCAAATAATTGGGATTTAGGAAGTAGGCTATTTTCAGACCCACATAGAACGGAATACAGACTTCTTTGCATGTCTTTTGATTCATGTCCTCGGACAATCGATCTCCAGCGTGCAAGAGAACATAGTAAGTTAGTCCAGTTTTTTCGTATTTGATAGTCTCTGCATGACCAAGGTCCATGTTGGAGATCACAGACTCCCCCATAGGTTTTTTGGAGGTAACAAATCCCATCCCAGGCTTTCATGAATTTTTCCCATCGCAGATTGCATTAAAAAAGCGACCCAATTTCTTCAAACTTATCCAGGCGGCTGTCGCACTCGACTTACGTTTCGATCTTTTCGGGAATACTGCACTTGTCCTTTTTGGAAATGGTTGAAGCACCCCATATCCGCTCGTCATATGGATGATACGGATGTGGGACAATAATTACATAATTGAATAGCTATATATATATAATTACATACACACTAATTAGATATTTAGTATATACTAGATATGAAATAACACGACCAATTGACTTCATGCACATCCCATCCACCAAAAAAAATCATACTGGCAACATTGTTTGGATTTGAAGGTCAGTTTGCAAAGATTTGACCCTTGCTGAACCTGTCTTGGGACATCCCCCAAGCAGCTGATGGTGGAAGAACCCAAGTCATGTAGGTAGGTCTGTCTGAAAATAGGGTACACCAAAATTCAATCACTTCATTTTTGGGCGAACCCAGTTGGATCTTATTGTTGGTTATGCCATTATATCCCCATATATATATATACACAATATATATATATATATATATACCTATCATATACCCATAAAATGGTTGGTTCATCCCTCTATGTATTTTATTGGACAGACCATATCCATAAATGGGGACAAACCAACCATTGTATGGATTTAAAACCAACCTTTTTGTTGGCTATATATATATACACACTATATATATATTTGTATATATATATATATATCAGTGTATCCCCATCTCTTAACGTTTTCAGCAGCAGTCCCCACGTTCCCAGGGAAGCTATGACTTGGTCTATCTACCGATGCTGGCCTCAAAGATGGCAGCCAGGTAACCCCACACTGAATCTGTATTTAAGAACATGTCAAATCATCTATAATATATAGATATCTAGCATCATCTATAAAATGGAATCAAAACACCAATCATCTACCTAAGTGATCTTAAATGTCTATGATTATGTGGATGTTCCAGTGTGGATAATAATATGTTGATAACATCATCAATTAATGATTTACTTGATGATTGATGACATTTAATCATCTACAAATAATGTCTATAATTATGTGGATGTTCCAGTAAGCCATGTTTGATTCCCGGAGTAAATCATCAAGACGGCAGAACTGGGATTTTTGGGATCGGAAGTTGTCGATATCTTTGGATCTGATACCACTGGTACCACATAGCGTTTTGGTTGATCAATGTTGGTTGAAGCCACCATTTAGGGTGATCCTCCAGGTTTTGATTTGTTGATGTTTGTTGAGTTTGGTGATCCTTCGTAGTTTATCCATGTCTATCCCATTTTGGTTGGTTTGCATCCATGATTTTGGTTGTTTACACCCAACACTTTGGTTTGTTCCACCCAGCCCTCTTTTTCCCTCAGGATGGATTATCACAACAAGGCGCTGGCTTGGTTTTGCACTCGTCACGCATTCTCGAGTGGATTGGTCATCCTCAAGCCAAGATTAATGATATTAATATTACAAAAAAAATACAAAATATCAAAATAACTATGAGTGTTGGAAGGATTGATGATATTAATATTACAAAAAAATGCAAAATATCAAAATAACTATGAGTATTGGAAGATGTTCAAAGTTGGTAAATGCTCAGAAGCCTATATATATAAGCCTTGTCGATCATATATATATACACATACATATATATATATAGCCTATATTGTTCTATAGCCCATATTTAATGATATATATAAATATATATATAGATCATATGATCATGATCAATGGCTCGTCCATGTCGTTGCTATGCGGGCCATGCCTTCGTCCAGAGGTGGGCTTCGGCTATGCCTTCATTAACTTCGTGGCTTGGAGAAAGCTGTGGGAAAGCTTTGGATCCCTCTGGAAAACCTACAAAAAGCTGTGGAAAATCACCATTTTTAGTAGGTAAATATTGGTAAATCAACTATAAATGGCCATTTTCAATAGCTATGCAACAAAAAAAATACCAGAGGATATATGTGGGATAAAATCATGGAACATAGGGACTCAATGGAATTGACTGGGAATATTATTTATTATAAGCAACTTAACGTGATTTTAGGGTGTGTCTGGAAAGGGGTATACCCCCGTTGGCATTTTATGAGGGAGAATGGTTATATATTAATGGAATGCATTCAGCGGTTGTACCCTCTGGTAAACTAACATAGCTATGGAAAATTGCCATTTATAGTGAATTTACCCATTAAAAACGGTGATTTTCCATAGTTATGTTAGTTTACCAGAGGGTACTATTTTTGGACACACCAATCTCCAGCTATTTTTGTTTCATTTTTGTGCGAGATTTAGCCATGAGCGTTGCCTAATTCACCCTTGGTGGCTGATGATTATGTTTGAGGCACCAGATCATCTAATTTTGTTTTAAAGGTGAACATCATCCATCAGATAGTCCACTTCTGTCAATGGAATTCGGGATTTCTGGAGTCCTGCTGTAATGATCAAATAGAAATGGGTGGTGATGTGAATGGAGATGACTGGGTGGTCGTTTGGAACGTGCTCTTGGCCCATTTGAAGGTTGATCCCTGAAGTCAACAAGCACCGATAGTGCTGTTAAGAGGTACGCAACCTGCCGTGCGCATCGGCATCTCCGATTGGGGAGCTACCTTGTTGCCAATGTAAATGTAAGGGTGTAATCTATCCACCCGAATATTCAACACCCCCATTCTATGGTTCCAAATATGTGGTAAACCACGTGTTTAAGCATGGTTTTCAGGTTTCCCTGGGTTGTGTCAAAAATATGAACGGGACAAAAAAGGGGAGCTTGGATGGTCATCTCAGGTTATCCCAATGTGTGCCCGGCAATTGTAGTCATTGCCAACAATTTGATCTGGAGTGTCACCTCCTTTTCATTGGTTTTTCTTCAGCATGTCCCTGGTTCTTTGTGGGTAAAATCTCCCTGATTTTGTTGCTTCGCGAGTCCCATGGTTGATCAGCGTTTTCCCATTCAGATACAGTAGCAATGTTTGAAATCTTGGGGTTGGTGCATCACCCATTCCGTATGTCTGAACATGGCGGAGGCATCAAAATGGCCACTTTATTCCGGAATATTATGATATTATGATTAAACATGATGAAACATCAAATGTTGGATGTTTCCCCGTACTTTTTTCCGACAAACCCGTTTGGGCTTGGAATTGGCTACACTCCCCGCCATTTTTTTCGGCCATCGGGGAATTTATGATGCCGGCATGCCATTGGACCATATTGGACCATCGGACTTGGAGGTTTTCAGCTACTTGGTTAGTCAAGTTAGTGATATCTCCCATGATATCACCCATGACGGATCCATGGTGCTGCCATATATGGTAACATGGATCCCATCAATATAGCCCAGTCATGTTAGCATATATACCGGCACCATGGATCCTATGGGGCATACATTATCACACTATATCCATCTATATATACATCTATATATCCATCTATATATCCATCTATATCCTATGATTACTGGTGATCCCCCAAAAAAGGGAAAAAGGGCTGGGAAACCACCAGATCACCCATGGCCGATGGCCGAAGTGTGCGGCTCGCGGTAAGGTGGAGCCGTCTTTGGCGAAAGCCTTCCGACGAGCCTTCGAAGGCTTTAGAGAGTGGGATTTGGTGCGGCTGCCCAAGCAGCCACTGTTCTGACTGTGGATAGATGAAGATAGTAAGATCCTATTGAGAGAAAATGTGCTACAGTATAATTCTATTGTATATATATATATGATTATATGATTATACATATGATTATATGATTATATATATATATATGAGTGTATGATCATATATATATATATATGATTATATATACATGTTTGGGGTGATTTACTATATGTAATCTATGTAATCTATATGTAGTATGTAGTGTATATATTTTTTACACATATTATATAACAGAAAAAAACAAAGAAAAAACCATTTGTGTTTGCATTTGTTTCCCGGTGGAGTTGGGATCGACGGTTCTATCCCATTTCAGCCAAGCTCAGAACACATCTTTGCATATTCTTATTGCTGGTGTTCGATGTACTGTAGATAGATTGATAGTAGGTTAATGACGAGTACGATAAACTACCCGGCGGGTTGTTTATCGAACCCGCGTTTTCAACGTTTGCAGTGTTCGTCATTGATTTCATACCACAAATCACAGTGGTTTCAAAGTTCAATTTCCTTAAAAAGTACGCGCGTACTTTTCACTGGATATGTAAAAAACCTCAGCGGCACTCTCTTTTTTTCTGCGCTAAGTGTTCTTCACAATTTCTGCAGTGAGCTTGGAGAGGTTTTTGTGGGAACTGTTTTCCCATCTCCACTGCCAAGCGCGAACATGCGTCCAAATCTTGCCATTGAGCAAGACTAACGTAGACTAACGTAGCATCATATATGTGAGGAAGTGCAAGACGACATACAGTACGTTGCATCATGTATGTGAGGAAGTGCAAGACGACGTACACTAGCATAGCATCATATATGTGAGGAAGTGCAAGACGACGTACAGCAGCGTAGCATCATGTATGTGAGGACGTGCAAGAAGACGTACAGCAGCGTAGCATCATGCATGTGAGGAAGTGCAAAAAGACGTACAGCAGCGTAGCATCATGTATGTCAGGCAGTGCAAATGAACGTTATTACCCCACCCCACCCCACCCCGTTAACCCCATGAAAGACATAGAAACATGCAAAACGCTGGTTCGGTTTTCAACCCGTAGGCTAAAACTACAATGAAGCTATATATAATAATATGTAATGATATATATGTTATATATACATATGGCACAATATGATCACAGCATGTTTACGTAACACATATTATACATATATAAATTATATTACATGTATGTATTGTAATGTATTGTATGTATGTATGTATGTATGTATGTATGTATGTATGTATGGTATGTATGTATGCTAGGTATGTATGTATGATGTATGTATGTATTGTATGTATGGTATGTATGTATCGTAATGTATGTAAATGTATGTAATGTATGTAAATGTATGTAATCGTATGTAATGTATGTATGTTGTAAATGTATGTAAATGTATGTAATTGTATGTAATGTATGGTAATGGTACTGTAAATGTTATGTAATGTATGTAATGTATGTAATGTTATGTAATGTATGTAATGTATGTAAATGTAATGTAATGTATGTAATGTATGTTATGTAATGTAATGTATGTAATGTATGTTAATGTATGTAATGTATGTATGTAATGTATGTTATGTAATGTATGTATTGTAATGTATGTATGTATGTATGTATTGTAATGTATGTATGTATGTATGTATGTATGTATGTATGTATGTATGTATGTATGTATGTATGTATGTATGTATGTATGTATGTATGTATGTATGTATGTATGTATGTATGTATGTATGTATGTATACACATATACACATATACACACATACACATTGCATTGGATACAACCACCAATCAATCGCCCACCACGCAAGGTCAGTGACAAGGCGCGACAAGTGCCACGGGGAATTTGGTCCACCTTTTTTTATTTTTGGATGATCTTGGGGATATCATCACCATGAAATCATATGAAATCTAGGTTTCAAGCAGCCAAACAAACCCAATATTTTGGATTGTTCATCGATAATCACTAACACATAATGTGTGGCTGTTTGATGCATCCAAAGTTGTGGGATATTTATAGTCACTTGTTGGACACTCAATATTTCATAATAGTTCACTATCGACCGTATACTTTTGAACACTTCGCTCATCTCTGACCTTTCAGCGAGGTCAGCATAGATGATGCATAGTATAGACGGTTGAAACATCCTAAACTTGTCGGAATTTTGGCTCAGGGTTTGTCATACCCAGTTGGGAAAATACTGTTACAGAACAATGACCTCAATAACATTATAGAGTCAATATTGGAATATCATGACATATTGAAATACCAACCTCATAATTGTAATGAAGTGGGTTATATTAAGGTTAATGTTATTATTGTTATGTCCTTAATGGGTTATCATTGTTTGCCCAAACTATTGTATCCTTTGTGGTGTTACTTTAATATTATATACATGTTCCCAAATTAAGGTCAATTTGAGTTTCATTCCCAGGATTGGAACATCGGACATTTTCTTACATACTGTAAATCCGCATCCTGAGCTAAACATCAACATTTTTTTGCTTACAGAACGTCAGGTCTGTGAGGTATGCTGGAGCAACGTCTTGCAGGGTGTTGATGCGCATATTGAGCGTCCGGGGCCCTGGAAACCACTGGGTAAACCATTGGGTAAACCATGGGGACCACGGCACTGATCGGTTGAAGAAGCAACAGGAGATTTCACCAGCCAACATCAGGTTTAAAGGCTTAACTTAAAGTAACTTACATGGGAATTGATAGGTGATCTATGATAGATCTATGCATATTTATGATAGCTAAGCTGGTTTCTATGCTTTTCGGTGGATATATTGAAGTAGTTAATGGGGTGGAAAAATCAACCAAACAATTAACTGAAGGGGCCCAACTTGTAGAAACCACTTGAAGCTGTGGTGAGTATCACATATAGCAAAAAAGGCTAACTATCCTCAAATGACCAAAGTTTTCAGGTTCGTAAACTACTATAATTGCTCCAGATATATGAACATGGATAGTTTATCAACATCATATTGAACATGATGGATGGACGTTCATGGGGATGTTATTCGTGTCGTTAGGTATTGTTTTTTTTGGACATGTCACTACCGATGGGGAAGTTTCACCTTTGGACCCCGATGGAGCCCCAAGAGGTGAACTCAAAACATCAGGAAAAAAACAATCAAAGTACCAATTCTTGAGGTAACAGGTGTTTAACAGGTAACATTATATACCTGTTACCTATATATAGTCCAGTTTAATATACTATTTTTTCGGGTTCCGGGCAGCGTCCGTTCCGTTGTGCCCTCCGTGCCCTCGCAAAGGTTACCGCAACAGTCCTGTGATGCATCCCACGGTGCCGGAGACCTTCAAACCCATGCTCTTCGTGGACGGGCAGCAAGTGCCCTTTCCGGTGCGCCGTTGGGTACGCGGCCGTTTTTTACGCGGCCTGTTGCACGTCATAGGAAACAAAGATAACCATGGGAAGATTGTCTCAGAAAATTAGATGATTTATTTCGTATGTTTGTTCTCGGATGATATTTTGGATTATTTTGGGCTCTATTTTGGGAAACACAATATCGAAGCAGCAAAGATACACAACAACTATCATAGTGGGTATAAAATATCTGGGTAAAGTGACCACACTGGTCGAGTTTACCATAAATTGTGGTCAGCATTGGGTGAATCAGCCAAACAATTGACTATGTTTGATTTGAGAAGTGTAATAATTCAGTTAATAATTAAGAAAATGGAATTTTCATGTATGTATATATATATATTATAGTTTTATGTATATATTACATATATGTAATATATGCATAAAACTATAATATATTATATATATATACACATGACAATTCCATTTTCTTAATTGATGATTCGAAGTGATTTGATCTTGACTTTTAAGAAACATAAATTTGAGAGATTCCAGATTGAAACATAACCATGATGAATCATGATTACTGTATACAATAGTTGGAGTTCCTTCGTTACTTCTGGAGTGTAACTAGTTGCTTCTTGATTCCTGGCCATACTTGCCATACTGGCCACCAAAGGTGTTCAGGACTTTTGCACCCTGCTAAAGACTTGGGCTCACGGGCAGTCAATGATTGGTTTATGCTCCTTGTTACAGTTGGTGCAATATTTACATGATGTTTGCCTCTGCTCAAAGCATCATTGATGGAAAGCCGCTGTTCATTGCATCAAGGTGTCCCGATTTTGACCAAAACCGGGGATGAGTCATTCCAGGACATTTTTCTACCTGGTTTGTGGATTATTTCCCTCAAAAATGACCATAATGGGAATCCCTATCGACGACAGAGGGTGAATATGGCTGTTGACCATTTCATTCCCATTACTTCCCCATAAATTATTGGTGATATTCGCCTTGAATCCCATAAAACATCCCTATGATGCTGGTTCTCATCCCCTATTACCCTCCGTGTCATCAAACATGGCTAGCTGAAAATTTCCCCAAACATGAAGCTTTTAATGGTAAATTCATCGAATAAAATGGTGGATTTTCCAATATTTTCCAGCAAGCCATGTTTGATTCCCAGAGGGTAACACCGATTTAGATATGGAGATCCGATGAGTACTGGAAATCTGGTGATAATAAATTCATTATATAATTTATTTATTCAAATATATATATATATATTTCTATATATATATATTATTATTATTATATACACACATATGTGACATTGTGTGACATATATGTGGACTAAAATGGGGTTTCTGCCTCTCAGATCGGGCTGGAGAGGCGCCGACAAAGACCATCCGGCCACCGCGCTTGCGCAAGAAGCAGCAGTAGGCCACCATGGACACTGGGAAATCCTGAGGTGTTTAGTGGAACACAAACAAACATGGCTGTGTCTGAACCTTGAAACACTGCATAAAAGGTGATTTGGATAGGGGACATGATTATCAACAAGTAGTGTTAAGGAGTGCTGTAATTAGCCTCTTTTCAGACAAACTCGTACCGCGGACTGTTCTGTTGTGGCAGCTGTGCAGAGCGATTCACTGGTTACTACATATCTAAGTCAGTTACAAAATAGTGGATTTCGAATATATAGACAATATGGTTGCAATGCCGCAATATAATATATATATATACATTTATGATATATATATATATAGTATATACATATATATATATTATATATATATACATAAATATTAGTTGATATGGTAGCTACTACTCCTACTTTGGGTAGGTCCCTCTACTCCTACTTCCTACTTCCTACTGCTACCACTACGGAGGATTCCAGAAAATCCAGGGATTTCCCTGGGAAATGATCCAAATGATATACCATCTGGTTATGACATTCACAGTTTGCCATGGTTTTTCGATGGCCCATAGAAATAGTTGATTTACCTATGAAACATGGTGATTTTCCATGGCTATGCTAAATAACCAGATGGTACTTTCATGTTGGATTTTCCATGTTGATGAAAATCCATTGTTTTTTTTGTGAAATCTATATGAATGCAGCGCCCAAACATCGCGCGAGGTGTGCCCAATGGTGTGCCAGTGAGGTGTGTTTCTCAAGAAAGGCGCAGCCTTTTGGGGCCTTGTCCCGGACGGGGAATTCCCCTTAAATCGTAGTTAGGGAACAGACCCATGTTGTACAAAGATCTTTCACGGTTCAACACCATGGTGGTGGTCCCTGACCCAGAAACAGACATTGGAATCATCGACAGTCTCGACATGTCGATGCTATCCCTGGCTATTTGATACAATGTGAGCAGTGTTCAAAACCCGTTTTCTTTGATGATTGCAGGGGAGTATACTAAGGGATTATTAATTCAATATATTAGGGATTATCACAATCAACTGGGAAATCCGTTCCTAAGCAACCAATGTAAAGGGACGTTGCGAGTTTTATAGACTATAATCAGGGCAACGGGTACATCAACGGGTGTTGAGTTGTAGCAGCGCAAGGTGCACGTTGAATTCACTTTCAGCTCTTTGCACGCGTAGTTCTCGAATGGTTCAAGTGGGCAGCCGCTTGTTGCAATGAGAAACAAAGACGGTGATTTAATGGTATTTAACCAACAAACATGGTGATTCAACGGAATTAATGAGGATACAATGGGAAACTCAGCTTGCAACTTCCGACACCATTAAAAACAAATTGTGGACCTGAAGTAAGCAACCGTTTTAGGGATGAGTTTCACAAGACGAGGCAGTCCTCCAAGACACGGAGCAGTTCAGATTTGTCCCAAGTGTTTCGAGGCTTTTCAGCAGTGTTTTCAAGTTGGGGATTGCACATGATTCTCTTGGTTTCAGAAGATATATTGAATGAAGTTTGAATGCTTCAGCCATCTTCAGCCCCATTTTCGGAGCTTCGCTATGATGAGTTTCAGTTCATCCCAGCAACAGCGACTGCCAGTAGTCATGCTCGCTCGTCTTCGCCGAAGCACTGGAGAAGTCGTTCACGGGCATGTGGATTGTGTGTGTGTGTGACATCATGGACAGATTGGGCCTGCTAAACATGCATTTAAGTCACTTCTGCCTGCTAAACAGATTTATCCAGAAAATTGGTCAGATTTCCACTGGCGATTTCCCTCATTTGAAGATCATGGCACAGTGCGGCGCAGCGGCTCCGCTCATTTAAGGATCCATTAAGAGGTCATCAAAGCGAAGCTCGCAGCCAAAAGATCCAAAAGTGCTGGGATGTCACATGGGTACCCTCTGGTAAACTAACATAGCTATTGAAAATGGAAATTCATAGTTGATTTACCCATTAGACATGGTGATGTTCCATTGTTATGTTAGTTTGCCAGAGGGTATGTCTGAAAATAGGGGGCCCCAAAATTTGACGGACCTTGATGGTTTGTCAGCATCTGCGCCAGTAGAGGGACTGTTTTTTTTTTGTACTTATGCTGTAGCCAGGTCAATGCACAAGATGATGGCTTACCCTCTGGTAAACTAACATAACTATGGAAAATCACCATTTTTAATGGGAAAAATCCACTATAAATAGCCATTTTCAATAGCTATGTTAAATTGCCAGAGGGTACCAATCCTTCAGTATGGAGGATGTTAACTAACAACTAAGGGGACGCAAAGTAAAAAACATTTACCACCGCTGAGGAAGTAATGCTGACATCTGTTGTCAAGCAATATATAAATGGGATGGTCAAAGTACAGCCCCTGGGAGCGGGAGGTTTCCACAAAGGTCCAATGGCCATAAAAAAGGCCTAGTTGATCAACCAACGGATTTGGGGTATACTGGTATATCGGCGTCTACCGGTATATAATATACCATTTTTGGACAAACCCATATCGACTTCCCATTTCTCTTGAACTCTCCACTTTCTTCTGAAGACTCCGGATATGTTGCTTCATCCATCTTCATCCCCACTTTCGTTCATGAATTTTCCCACCTTTGGCTGGTTGAATTTCTGGGTCCATCCACATCATTTCAAATCCCAATTTTACTTCTTTAAATCGCCACTTGTGGCTGCTTGATCCCTATTTTCTCGGGTAAACAGGGTTGCTCCAACATTTTGTAGGTGATGATTTTGAACTCTTCATTTACCACAATTTCTTCCCAAACGCATCATCTGGGGTGTTGGGAGCAACCCTTTTGTTGGGTATTATACTATATATAATCACTATTATTGTAGATTATTATATCGCCGGACAAATGCTTAGAACCAATTTTGGAAAATTTCCAAAAAAAATCGACTCACGAGCAAATCGCACTTAGAACCCAAAAAACCTTGCACTTAGAACCTCTGCCTATGTCATGAGTATCTTTAATGATATGAATTAACATCTACATATGTTTATAACCATGTAGATAGTTGGGGAGACTCGCACTTAGAACCTCTCACAATCATGAGTATCTTTAATGATATGAGTTAACATCTACATATGTTTATAACCATGTAGATAGTTAGGGAGATTCGCACTTAGAACCTCTGAAAATCATCATGATTTTAAATAATATCAAGATCAGTTATATAACGTCTACATATTTTGACAATATATGAACTCAAGCTTTGACCACTATCCTTTGAGATCGGAGCACAAACCTGTTTATTTTGATAGCTATTGAACATGACCATTTATAGTTGATTTACCCACTAAAAATTAGATTTTCCATAGCTATATATATATATACTAGTGATGGTAGAATATCTATATGACATATCCTTATGAGCAATATATATATATATGTATATATATATAGTGGTGCCAACGGTTCTATAGCTCCTGAATGTCAGGTTGAAACCTTATGTATAGATATATATGCCTGGTGAATCTGACCGTTTGGCTCAAAAAGTTCGGGGAATGATGGTTAAGGACAAGACATACCTAATCTGGTCTATCAAACCCTTATCAAGACACATGTTGGCACTCCAATCTGGGAAGATTCTATCAGTGTAAGTTGTGATTCAGGAGGTTCTAAGTGCGAAAGTCCCCACCTATCTGCATGGTTCCCTGCCATCCCGTGCAAACCGGCAACATATCTATTCTGATCTTTAATCCTTACCAAGAAACATGTTGGCGCTCCAATCTGGGAAGATCTTAATTCTACCAGAGTAGGCTGTGATTTAGGAGGTTCTAAGTGCGGAAGTCCCCACCTATCTGCGCGGTTCTGCATGGTTCTGCATGGTTCCCTGTCATCCCGTGCGCATAGGCAACATCTAATCTGATCTACAAAACCCTTATCAAGGTGTAGGTTGTGATTTAAGAGTTTTTTGAGTGCGAAAGTCCCCACATATCTGCATGGTTCTGCATGGTTGTGCATGGTTCTGCATGGTTGTGCATGGTTGTGCATGGTTGTGCATGGTTCTGCGTGGTTCTGCATGGTTCTGCATGGTTCCCTGCCATCCCGTGCGCATAGGCAACAGCTAATCTGATCTATAAAACCCTTATCAAGAAACGTGTTGGCACACCAACCAGATTTTGATTCCAGTGTAGGTTGTGATTTAGGAGGTTCTAAGTGCGAAAGTCCCCACCTATCTGCCTTGTTTTCTGCCATCCCGTGCGCGTAGGCAACATACCTTATCTGATCTATCAAACCCTTATCAAGAAACATTTTGGCACTCCAATCTTGGAAGATTCTATCAGTGTAGGTTGTTATTTAGGAGTTTTTAAGTGCGAAAGTCCCCCACCGATCTGCATGGTTCCATGCCATCCCGTGCACATAGGCAACATGCCTAGTCCAATCCAGAAAACCCTTTCTGACAAACATGTTGGCACATCAACCTGGAAAGATTTTCATTCTACCAGTGTAGGTTGTGATTTAGGAGGTTCTAAGTGCGAAAGTCCCCACCTATCTGCGTGGTTCTGCATGGTTCTGCATGGTTCCCTGCCATCCCGTGCACATAGGCAACATCTAATCTGATGTATAAGACCCTTATGAAGAAACATGTTGGCACACCAACCTGGGAAGATTTTAATTCTACCAGTGTAGGCTGTGATTTAGGAGGTTCTAAGTGCGAAAGTCCCCACCAAACTGCCTGGTTCCCTGCCAGCCTGGGCACATAGGCAACATACCTAATCTGATCTATAATCCTTACCAAGAAACATGTTGGCGCTCCAATCTGGGAAGATCTTAATTCTACCAAGAGTAGGTTGTGATTTAGGAGCTTCTAAGTGGGAAAGTCCCCACCTATCTGCCTGGTTCCTTTGCATCCCGTGCACATTGGCAACATCTAATCTAATCTACATAACCCTTACTGAGAATCATGTTGGCGCTCCAAACACAATCTGGGAAGATCTTAAATTCTACCAGAAAGGCTGTGATTTAGGAGGTTCTAAGTGCGAAAGTCCCCCACCTATCTGCCTGGTTCCCTGCCATCCCGTGCACATAGGCAACATACCTAATCTGGTCTATCAAACCCTGATCAAGAAACATGTTGGCACTCCAATCTGGGAAGATTCTATCACTGTAAGTTGTGATTCAGGAGGTTCTAAGTGCGAAAGTCCCCACCTATTTGCCTTGTTTCCTGCCATCCCGTGCATGCAGGCAACATATCTCATCTGATCTATTTTCCTTACCAAGAAACATATTGGCGCTCCAATCTGGGAAGATCTTAATTCTACCAGAGTAGGCTGTGATTTAGGAGGTTCTAAGTGCGAAAGTCCCCACCTATCTGCGTGGTTCTGCATGGTTCTGCATGGTTCCCTGTCATCCCGTGCGCATAGGCAACATCTAATCTGATCTACAAAACCCTTATCAAGGTGTAGGTTGTGATTTAAGAGTTTTTTGAGTGCGAAAGTCCCCACATATCTGCATGGTTCTGCATGGTTGTGCATGGTTCTGCATGGTTCCCTGCCATCCCGTGCGCATAGGCAACATCTAATCTGATCTATAAAAACCTTATCAAGAAACGTGTTGGCACACCAACCAGATTTTGATTCCAGTGCAGGCTGTGATTTAGGAGGTTCTAAGTGCGAAAGTCCCCACCTATCTGCCTTGTTTCCTGCCATCCCATGCACGTAGGCAACATACCTTATCTGATCTATCAAACCCTTATCAAGAAACATTTTGGCACTCCAATCTTGGAAGATTCTATCAGTGTAGGTTGTTATTTAGGAGTTTTTAAGTGCGAAAGCCCCCCACCGATCTGCATGGTTCCATGCCATCCCCTGCACATAGGCAACATACCTAGTCCAATCCAGAAAACCCTTTCTGACAAACATGTTGGCACATCAACCTG